TACTTAAAATAAGACAAAACTAACTTACAAGTAACTTTTCATGAAAGGTATTAGTTCCACTGGTAGATTATTTCACTTATAACAAGATATTTTACATGTTATAAGGCAGATAATAAATGATGTGCCAGTAGAACTAATACTTTACTTTTTGTTACTTATGAGTTAGTTTTGTCTTATTTAAAGTAAAGATGCATCAAGCCAATATTTTTATCTGTATTGGTCTAATATTGAAAAAAAAAGCCAAGACTGAGTATCGGAGACAATGTACCAGATCTATTCAATCTAAATCTATGCTTTGTGCTCTGATAGATTTTGTGCTTTATTTACTTTAAATCATATTTTGAATTCCTAATTGTACTTTCTGAACAATTTGAAAGAAATTTGAAGGAAGAACAATTTTTTATACATTTGCCCAAAGCAGTCAACCTATTGTTTTGTCAATTTCTTTATTATTTATTTTACATTGGCTGTTCTACTCCTAATTGCACTGACTGAATAATTGAAAGTTGTTTTTACATGTGCAGAGTTATCAGATAAATCAATACATTTATATCCATGTTTAAAAAAATTAGAAATGTTTTAAGTTAATTCAGCTGTTTTTCTGTATCTAATCGGACGATACCTCAGATATCTGCATTGGAAGTGGAAAAAAGTGGATTGGTGCGACTCTAGAAACTGGACTAAAAAGTAGGTAGTGAGATTTCACATTTTTGCAGTGAAGCCGTTGACAGTAGAGCTGTGGAAGAGAATACATCCACATACTGAGCGACTGAAGCTCAGCGCTGACGGCTGTGGAGCAGAGAAACTTCAGGAGGGCCAGCTGTGACAAACCTTGGCCTCCATCCAGACATTCACTGCTCTGCTTCCCACACCCGTTTGGCTTTTGTGTTTTTTCCCCTTCTCACTTCTCCATCCAACTATAAAATGTTGCTAAAATTAGACTCATGAGTTATATATATATATATAAAAAAAACTATTCAAGTCTGTTGATGATTTCCTCCGTGCTGAGGCCAGGCCCCGTCTGCTCTGCAGCACACAAACAACAGAGACGTGCCAACTCTGAATAGTGAGCACAACGCAGCTGCGTATCATAGACTTAGTTTACAACACGAGTGTCCAAACTTTATGACTGCAGACATCTGTGATAAACTATCTTTCAGTAGCCAGTTTCTAAAAATCAGCACACCCCCGCCTCATTGATTCACATGTTTTCTTGACTTTTCAGTTTGAAGAGCAGCTAACGAAAACAAGCCTCCGTGTCACAAAATATACATTTCCCATGGAGACAACATTAAAATGTTGGGTACAATCTATAATGTGAAATGTGAAGTGATTGTGATTTTGCAAAGACAATTAGTGAAACATGGGCATGCTTCCTGATGAAGTATCTAAAGCACTGCATGCAGCCTTTTTGCCCCAGGTGCCAAAATGATCCTGTTTACTTAAAGTGCTCACAGGTCACATAAATTCATTTTCTTTCAATTAAAACAATATTATTGCAATTATTTTTTCATTTTCCCCGAACAAATATAAACATTTTTATACGTTTGAGAACATTTTTTTGATTCTATTTTTTCCAAGACACTCATGCTTTATTTAGTTTAAGTACTGCAGCCAAGTCTGGTCGTAAGCCACTGGGTATGTTTGACCCTGTCTACCTCTTACAAAAAACAAAAAAAAAGAAGAAAAACAAATAGTTTCAAAACCAGCATTTCTCATTTTTAAAATCATTTGATTAGTTCGGCTCCTTTTGGAAAAAGCCATTCAGCTGTGAAAATTGTCCATTTCCACTCACTGCTTGTGTTCGTTTTGTTTTTCACCAGCGAATCTGCAGGATTCACAAGCAATAGCAACACACTAAAAAAACACTAAATCCTACCAAGTCATGTTGGTCTAGGTTTCTGGTTCAAATTTCCTAGTACACTTGAAATAAAACAAAATGAAACCAGCTTTTCAACAAGATACGAGTTTGTTTTAAACAAATAATTTATTAATCTTGATGAGAAAGTACTACTTCCATGACAGATTATTTCACTGATAACATGAGAAAATGTCTTGCTATAAGTGAAATAATCTGCCAATGGAACTTGTACTTTTTCATCAAGATTAATGAGTTATTTACTTAAAACAAGACCTTATATCTTGCTGAAAAGCTACTTGTAAGTTAGTCTTGTCTTATTTCGAGTGATCTAAGATATTTGCATTAGAAACTAAACCAAAATGACTTGGTCAGACTTTATGTTTTTGCAGTGCAAGTTCACCTCAGACCTACGAAGCTCCAGAAAAATGGCCGTTTTCGCCTGTGGTCTGATGCTCATCTTCATCCAGTGAAATGTTTGTGAGCCTGATCTTAACCTAATCCCATTTTATGAACCTCATAGGGCTGTAAACTGGAAGCAGACACATCACAGACCTGCTTATTAAACTCAGGGTGTTTGGCAGTGCCAGATATAGCAGCGCCAAGTGCCTAACCTGTGTATCAAAGCGTGCTTGTGAACGATGTTAAGTGAGGTGTGACAGTGTGACAGTGTGTGTGTGTAGACACTACAGAACTCACAGTTAGCTGTGTTAATGATTGCCTCTACATGGACAGCATGCCTCTGTTCTCTCTCACTTCCTGTCACATGACCCAGATCGATAAGAACAAACTTTATGCTCATTTGATTTCGACTGCTTATCACCCAAACTCACTGAGATGTCACTCTTGATGCAACTCTTGCTTCATTGGATTGTGAATATTATAACCAAAAAAACAGAGATGTGTTGCTTGAATCAGATGAATTTCCATCATGCAGGTGAGCTCATAGGAAGGTGGCGTGAGCGTCCCTCCTGACTCTGCTGGTCTCTCAGTTTAACTGTCGCATTGTTATCAGACTACAGCCGTTTGTTTACACCACGCTTCCTTCGCGGCCTTCAGCCCCACAAGGCGGTTCGGATTATCAGCCCAGAAACATGCTGCATGTGTCAGAGAGCGCTTCACAGCGATGGAACGATAACTGGCGCTGAGCGGCAGTCTGCATCACACCGTATGTCAAAGTCACGATCGGTGATGCTCAGAGTCGGGTTTGAATCTTTGAACTTTAACGAGTTTAAAGATTTTACTCAAATATGCACTGATCCGATTTTCAAGTACCGATTTTTGTAAAGCCCAAAATATGACCAGATGATACGGCAGAAAAACATGTCATGACACAGGTGTTTCATATCAGTCAATGTCGATAATTATGAATCAGTCTTTTGGTTTTAGATATCTGAAATACTGCCAAACTGGTGGTGTGATATTTCCTCTTTCATCTACAGTTTCAGCTCCACACTGCTTTTTATTTTTAAACACTAATGAGGCACAGTGGTGAAACCTAAAAATGCAAATTACTCAATAGGTTGTTGCTAGACAACCAAACAGTGAGTGAGTTAGTTGATGCCATTCAGCTAGCTTAGCTCGCTGTGAGAGGTTCAGCAGCTAAAGCCTTACCTCTGCCTACATCCCCCAGAATGCAGTGCAGTTCTGGACCGGAGCCCAGTTAAATTATTGAACATTCTATCAGATGTATTATTTATTGATATTGATCACATGTCTATTGTGTTACTGATATATTGTTATTGAATTATTGTTCAAGCCAAATTTCCAATAGGGAGTCTAGTTAATTCAGCTGTATCTTTAATAAGTATAAGTAACAACACAAAATGCATCAGTTATTACATGAATTTAAATTGATTTGTCTCAATAAAATAACAGTAACCTAAAACGATTTCTCAAAAATAGCCAGTATGGATTCAGCACAATAAAATACAATTTTGAGCATATCTCCATTACTGTATTGACACACAAAGGTTTTCTTCTTTAATTTGTCAGAATAAAAATACCCACATACTCCAGCATACAGAGCATATTGCATTAGCTGCGCGGACTCCACACACACTTTCCGAACAGTTGAAATTTCAAAGTCGAGCGTACCAAATGCTCGACTTTGGTACGAGGAATTTGTCACAATTTTTCTTGTGACAAATTTCTGCATTCCCACAATTCCATAGTGCGTCATCTGAGCTATCTCTTCCCATGTATTTTTTGTTCTCTGAATGTCCTTATATTTCCTCATTGACGTATCGTACAAGTTTCTACGCTCTCAAATGTCTCCCATCAGACACTCTTTACAATCTGACTCCATTTCATCTACATAGCAGTTTTTACTCAGATGTTCAAACCTCCAAGTTAGTCATTTGAAAATCAATCAAAAACCTTTCAAAATTAGAATTCTAAGTAAGGAAGTTGGACATCTATTAGCAATCCCGACCTCCAATATGGCCGTTTACATGTAAAACTTTCACATAGAAAGCTGCAGCAAAAATCTGTTTATTTGCATCTTTTAAAATTTGTATTGCATTAAATCCTTTACAAAAAATAAATAGTAAATCACTTAAGAAGTAATTCAAGTACCACAAGTGGTTTTGGTGACACAGCATGATGCTTCCAAAAATCACCATGGGGATGGTGTGTTGAGGATGGTAGTTTTTACTGTGTACTAGTGTCTGTGACCAACTACTACTACTACTACTGCCAAGCATTTCTACACTGACATTTGTGATTGCATCACGACAAAATGTGAAAAAGTTGACGGAGGTTGTACTTGTACATGACACTAGCTATTGCAGGGCTGCCAATCATTCAGTTTATCATCCCCACCAGTTTGCAGGCTTCAAATGGCGCCAGATGATAGTGAGCATGAGCGACACATCAAAGTCCAGCTGTAAGACGTCAGACTGATGGAAAGGGAACAAACACGGATTTTCACCCCCCACTTCTCTTCATTACTTTGACGTTTCTAAAACAGCAGCAGTGATAATGGGCTTTAATGAAGCTGTTTTGCCCTCTAAGTGGGATTACACGACAATTCATTCCGTTTTTTCAGTGTACAACCTAAAAAAGCACCTGATATGTGCCCTGACTGACTCACACATCCATTCATCATCCATCCCATGGAAACCAGTGAGACCAGGCTTACCATGATTGTCTTCATCCATTTCGATTGGAGGAGCGACTTTGCAGTCCAGCTGAATGTGTGAAACCTTGCGTGAAATGTATCACACTGGGTTTTTTTGGTTGTTTTTTTTTTATTTTTTTTTTTTTTTTTTTTTTCTCCCCCTCCGTTTTCAGTAGAATTTCACCGGGACATAAAAGCCAGAACCGGTGCTGTGTTCACAGACAGACGGCAGAAGCGGACCGACGCGCGGCTGCTGTCAGCGACGAAGCGAGGACGCGAATGAACGCGAGCGGAATCCAAACTCTGCGCGTGGAGAGAAGGCGAATCCTCTCGCGCGGAAGGTGATGTTTTGGGCATGAGATCTGAGGCGGCTGCTCCTCGGTCCCTCTGCTCCATCCTCTATCTGCTCCGCCTGTATTCACGGCCACACACACATTGCAATTAGGGCGGCGTCACTAAGCTCCGCCCACCGCCATTAACAACCTCATACTCATACGCTTGTGTGCGCGCGCACACATGCGCTCTTCTACGTGGGTTTTGATTTCCTGTCTGGATTTTTATAGTCGTTTAAATTATTTTTTTTTTCTACAACTGGACTGTGACACCACTATTTGAAGCACAATACTTTTTTTTCATTGTTTTTTTTTTATTTCACATGCTACGTATTTCTATGACGTACTATTCGGTATGTTAATTTAAGATATCTAAAATATAAAATAATATATCCAATATATATATATCATCTAAGTAAAATATACTTTAATTGATTTGTACAATATATTAAAGGGAATTTCAAATAACTATACCAGAAGGGTTTTAAAGGTCATTCATTATTTTTGATAAACAAATCTGTTGTTTTGAGAAAAAACACTGAGATGGGGAAAAAAAAACAAAAAACAAAGGCTCATTTGGTCTAAATCATAAAATCCAGATAAAGTGGGCAGAGATATCTGGAGAGGAAACCGGAGAATTCAATGGTTGCTTCATGAAACACTTGAAGTCTAGTTTTAAGTAGAGGTGGGTGACATTGAGGTGAAGATGATGAGGGTAGTGGAGGAGTTGTTTTTGTTTTTACTAGTGACCATGATGATGAGTGTTTACCAAAAACAATGAAAGAAAGACAGGAAAAAAAATGACCCACCAGAGGCTTTACTGTAACTCTACTGCTGGTATTATTCTCTCACTCTTTGTGTTTATAGACAACATGACAATATAAAACATCAGTCAGTAGTTGAGTAATAATTTCATCTTTCAGAAGTTAATCCATGTCTTCCACATTACACTTAGTTGTCTTGTATTGCTTCATTTCAGGTCTTCAAATAACAATTTTTTTAGTAATCGATGAATCGATTATTCTGATAGTTAATAGATTAATTGGATGAAAAAAATGGGACATTCTACAGATTTTTTATTTATCCTCTCAAAACTTTTTATATAACAATACAAATACATTAAAATATACAAATAATCAAATATTTTTATTCCTTTTTAAATGAGAAAATAAACATTTTATTCCTTTAGCAAATTTGAACTGAATGAAGCTAACCCTATCACTTGAGGAGTTTTGACAAAGATTTTTAATTTTTTTTTTTTTTTATCTTAAATGCAAACTGTATTTAAGACAAAACTGTTTTTGGAAAGTTTTGTCTTATTGCTCTGAAAATGTTGTTTTTTTCAGCAAATGGTGTTTTTATGTATCTGTATACTCCACCTAATGATTAATTGATTACTAAATTAGTTGACGATTATTTCAATAATCAGTTAAACATGATGAATCCGACTAATCGTTTCAGCTCTACTTAAGTTACTGTTTTTTTAGGGATATTTGTTATATATTTTTAAATACACATTTCCATTAATTACTTGAAAGACGTTCCTTAGGACAAAGGTCCTGATCCTGTTACTTTCGGCGCTCCGTCCAGATTCACTTCCTGGGTTTTGGTGATGCAGGTATTACAGCATCTTTTGAGGTCAGTCCTGGCAAGGAAATTCCACTTCCTGCCCTTTCCCTCCCTGTATGAGCTCACTCACTGAGGATTTTCCAGCAGAGATTCCAGCTACGCCGGCCAGCTGTCATATTAGAGGAGAGGAACACGAAGGTTTGGGCTGGGCTCAGCTCAACATACGGTCCCCAGCTCAGGAAGGGAGTTGTGCCGGGGACACATTGTGCAGCACTCCAGGGGCACAATGGACGAAAGTTACAGGACAGGAAGTGATGAAATGGGCCTGTTTTCCTCCGCCCTCTCAGTACGAAGATGTTTAACTAAACAAAAGCTCCTCGGCAACCTTCTAAAACTTTTGTCAATAGTAATGGTTATTTTTACCTTCGTTTTACACGTTTAGCTTCTGTTTTGCATAGGGAAGAAAAATAAACTTAGAAGGTGCCACATGTAGTAGCCAAATATATTTCGACACCTTCCAAAAATAACAGTCTTGGTCATTTTTTTTTTGCCGAAAGTGATTTTGGCAAAACATAAAAATAAAAAAATTGACTATAGAGGAATTGCTAAGAGTGCCAATAAGTTTGGCACAAATGATATATAAAAAAATATAACTTACTAAGAAATGTAAATCCATATTTATTTGCAATGTGAGATGATGCTATGGAATACGTTTTTACATGATGGAAGCAGAAGAAGCTGTTGTCTTGATAGTTTGTGTGACTTCAGACAAAAGATGAAGTTTCTGAGGTGATAATCACAACTGTTATCCACTAAACTGAGCCAAGGTTCCACTTTGGTGTCACTTTGGTCAGGATGAGACTCTACAGCTGAAAACTATTAAATAACATTAAAGCTGCAGTTTGTAACTTTTATTTATTTTTTTATCTGCTTTTTACATACTTGTTAAAACAGTGACCATGTCGTGGCTGTATAATATGAAACAGATAATCTGTGAAAAAACAGAGCGCGCACACGGGCATGATTGACGGCACTAAGACCTTCCCCTGGCTCTGATTGGTTGTTTCCAGTTAGCACTGGAAGAAGGCAGCTGAGCTGGATTGTTTCACAGATTATCTGTCTTATGCTGTGATGACATAGCGACAGCTTCAACACATACATAAAAAATATTTTAATAAATGTTACTGCAGCTTTAAGGTTTGAAAGGTCTAATGAGAGCATGCAGGTGAATGGATCCTCTGGGATCCGAGGGGGAAGAGGAGAGCTGAGTGTTATTGTTTGAAGAATGGAATGATGGATGATGATGAAATATGTTGCGGATAGATTCTCACCGTTCTGAAGGTCCAGGAGGATTTGAACAAATCCTCAGAGTCTGGAAGTGGCAACTGGAGGTTAACGATGACTCGGTATAGCCGTCTCTTAGTGTTGGGGGGGAAAAAAAGAATAAAACACTCTGAACATCCCACCAGCAGATTTAGGCTGAAAGTAATCTTTCCAAAATGATTCTCCTGATCGTGTTATTGTAATATCAGTGTCTTGGAGCGGCTCCGTCAGCCCCGGCTTGAATCTGATAGCAAATCCATGACGGAAATGAAAGATTAGGGTGATGGCAAGAAGGCCTTCCGTCCTCACAGGCTCAGAGCTCATCACCAAAGTTAAACCCTCAAAGTACCAGTGGAGACATACAGAGAGTCGGTCAGTTATGAGACTCTACAGCTGCTATAAGACTCTTGACTGCTATAAGGGAAATAAAGATTTTTACCGTTGATTACTGAGAAAAGCATCAATAGCTCAATAAAAAAAAAATTATAAAACATGCCATTTTTAATAAAATGTAAATAAAAACATGCATTTTACAATCCTTTCATGTTGCTTGTTTCCTATTAGAAACAAACTTAAGAAGTCACGCAGAGATCCAGAGCTCTGGAACTGCTGAGACTATTTGTTGTGGACTTCTGGCTGAAATAAAGCCACTGTTAGCGATCCATCCATGATGATGCAATGTGGATACTTTCCTTTAGCAGGGATAAAAGCCTGCTCATGAATGGCCCAGTCAAAGTCCAGGCCTAAATCCAGGTGAGAATGTGAATGAAGTTAACATAGTTAAAAATGCCCCCGTGTGCCTGGAAAACACATAACACTTTAATAAACTTTACCTAATCTTCCAACTTCCTCTAGTCATCTCAAAAATTCTCTTAGAATCAGATTAAATATTCATTTGTTTTCCTTTGAAGCATAAAATAAATGTAATGTTCCTTTCCTCACAGAAGCTGCAGGCATAAACAAACACTGCCTCCACAGAATCGCAACATGTTCTGGTGAATTCCCCCCTCCCCCGCACTGGCCCCCAGGGGCCCACTTTCAGGCAGAACCCACGGCTCACTCTGAGTGAATCCTGAAAGAGAAACAGAGGGAAGACAACAATCTCATCCTCGTTATCATCGCCCTCAACTGCTGTTTTTAGCTGCATCTCGGCAGAAAGGTAGGGTTTGTGGCTGAACAGTTTGGGAATCATCATGTGTTAACTATGTAAGTGGAGGCGTATTCCCAGCTCTCAGCTGACTGGAACAGAAGTGGTGGATTCCAGAGAAAAGAAAAGGAAAAAAACAACACCCTTTAGTTTTGGACTCAAATAAAAAGTTGTAAGTGCCCATCTCAAGTCAAGTCAAGTCAAAGTTTATTTCTGCAGCACGTTTACAACAACCTGAACTGACCCAAGTGCTTCATAATAATCACACCATCACAGGTGGATAAAAGGTTAAACAGAAAATAAAGTTAAGCTTGGCAAAAAGTAATAAGACAATAATAAAATTGGCAGAAAATACCAAACACTAATATGAATAAAAAACAAAGGGATACTTCATTTAAGCAACAATCCCCCTTCCTACCCCCCACCAAAAATCACTCAGAACAGTGCTAATATTGACAGTTTTTTTTCCTCAATTCAAACATCATTTCAAGAATTTGTGTCAATTTGAGACTGAATTTTTACAAGAGTCGGCCTTCCCACAAATAACCTTTGACCCGCTCTTATGAGATGAGCTTTAGGGGGGAGAAACCCGATTTTCATGGAGACGCTCCAGGTTTAGCTGGAAGCGGGATGTTTTCCAGCATGTCTCTGCAGCAGAGCAGGACATGTCTTCTGCTTTCTGTCTCATCAGGTCTGTTTCCAGTCATACAAACTGCTGCGACCTTCTTGTTCCACTCAGCACAGAGACAAGCCTATGTTGGCTGCAGTCATGCTCTGTCATTATGTAAGCTAGCGGTCTGCTTTGTGACCCATGCGGTTATAATGAGGCTGAGAAATACATTTCCACACAGTCAGAAGCTTTTATACAGCTTCAGATCGCACTGGGGATTTATAAAAATGTTACTGTTTCATATTTATGCCACCTGTTTTAATATCTTTGACAGTGATTTTACGTAATGGAACAAAACAACACAGAATGGAGCGTCCAAAGTGTAGCCTGAGAATTTCACTATTAGGATTAGGCACAAAGTAGTTTTTTTTTTTTTTGTTTTGTTTTCAATGGCCGTGTTTACTGTT